GAATATCTCACTTGAATGTTATGCGTAAACCACACGGGCGAGGATTGTTTTAGACTGATCAGATTCTAGGTGCGCGCTGGCCTGACGCCACTGTCATGATCTAGGACCAGCGGAATTTGTTACGAGCTATCTATGTTCAGTTTGCTTAGTTTCGATAAAGAAGGCTCTCACGAAAAAAAAAACGCTCCTACACGAATGGCTAGCTCAGCGGTGAACATGTACCTATCTGTGATGAACATGTTAACGCGAAGGAGACTGGTGAACTTGATCAACCTTTCTGGAATGGGTCGTAATGTACACGTGTAGTTCAGTGCTTAACGTGCTGACTATCGTTGGCGAGAAGAGAGTTCCATCCCGGCAGGTGCAATGGTTTTGCGATCGACCTTACATTGCACAGTGACCTGTTATATCGGGAGGCTCTAGGAGCTCGCTAACCTCGCGCCCCAAAAACGAGCTTGTCGTGAGGTTCGCGAGCTTGCCGTCATTTCTTATGCCAACATACGGGGTAAATTACTACGGGCCCAGATGTTTTAGCCGCATACACACGTTCAAAACGGCTACATCGCACGAACTTGACTAATCAGCAATGGCTTGGTTATAAAGAAGTACGTGAATTGGTTGTCATCAATACTGTGCGCATCTCTGTGAGTGATAAGGTAGAGGAGTTCGTGATTTTACCACAAGATCTAGATCGCAAAATCACGCAGCTTCACCTGAGCAACGTTTCGCTTTACCGCAACGTCACAGAAAGAGAGTATGTGGCACAGTACAAACGACTCAATCACGTTTGGAATACTACTGGGAAGTTAGCTGGTCTCAACGAGAGTTTTTTGAGCAGATTAAAGTTAGAAACACCAAGTTGCCCAGTCTTCTATAGTCTTATCAAAACACACAAGCTTTCTCTTGATGATGATACGCGATTGATGACAGCCGAACAGTTTTAAATACGACCAATTATAAGCTGTGTTGGGGGGCCAACCGATAGAATATCTTGGTTCTTGAACAAGATTGTTTGTCAGCTACTGACCAAGGTACCGTCCCATTTATCAAACACCAACCATTTCCTTGAGCGCTTACACAACGCTAAGTTCAACGACGAGTGTGTGGCTGAGTCATTTGATGTGGTATCTCTGTATACCAATGTTCAAAATGACGACGCCTTACAAGCGTTATCCGAAATGTTGGATAAGTTTGGTAAAGACATTCAAACCTTCGGCTTGAGTAAAAGTAACATCATGATTCTGATCAAGGAGTGCTTGAACTGTAACATTTTCAAATGGTCAGGATCTTACTATACTCAGCTAAGAGGTCTCGCAATGGGATAAAGACTTGCGCCAGTGCTAGCGGTCTGCTTTATGAGTAGAATCGAGAACCCGGTGCTGTTAAGACTACCTCTTATGTACTGTCACTATATCGACGACTGTTGTATCATAACATCCACACAGTCCGAAATGGACGAGTGTTTCCGTTTACTGAATCAACAGTCAGAGTACATAAGATTTACACGAGAACAGCCGACTGACGGGTGGCTCCCATATCTGAACGTGCAATTTAAACTGTCCGGATCTCACGCGATTATAAAATGGTATCGTAAATCAAGCTCGAAAAACATCTTGTTGCACGCCCACTCTGCTCATCCTTCAGCCGTCAAACGTGGTGTTATCCACAATATGTTCAAGACTGCAACACAGGTTTGCACGGGAGAAAAGGAACGGAAGGAATCACGAGATTTGGCGCTGGACATCGCTAGAGGGATTGGCTACTCGATGCACAACGTACGTAGGCCAGGTACCTCGCATGAGATGCTTCAACGCAACAGCAAAACTCCTCTCTGTTTACCTTTCATCTCTGATCGAGTAAGTGTTGCTATACGGCGAAGTATTGAGCGAGCACATTTGAGCAACGATATCATTTTAGTAGACATACCAAGCGCGAACATCAAAAGAAAGCTTGTACGCAATAGACTTTATGACAAATTTTGCATTACAAAAGAATGCAGAGTTTGTCCGTATGGCAATGTTAGCGACTGCGCGAAAGTTGGAGTGATTTACCAGATAGATTGTATAACATGCGGCGCGTCCTACATTGAAGAGACTGGAAGACTGCTAAGTGTTAGACTTAAAGAACATCTAGCCGATAAACGACGTGGCGGTCTAAACTCACCACTCGGGAAACATAGGCATGAACAAAATGGTGATGCAGACTATGACATCAAGTGCACGATTTTGGCTTGCGAGACTAACACATCTGCGCGAAAAACTCTCGAAGCATTCTATATCTCACGGAGAAACCCATCGATGAACAACAGAAAGGAATGTTTAACGATCACGAATGACTTCATGCCGTTTATACCGCTATGTGAGCTATAAACAGTAGTGATTACACCGACCCATAAGCTTCCTAAAATGGCTTATTGGCACTACTGACACCAAAGGACGTGGTTGCACAATATCATCAGTGCTCCAACGGTGAAGCGAAGCAAGGGTTAGTTCGTCTTTCACTTTCTACGAGTATTGTTAGTGAAATCAGTGGGGGTTCGAAACTAGCTTGAGGTCGATAAGGCATTTGGTGGGGTAGAGCACAAGATCAAAATCTCGCACCACTTTAGGCCTCTGAAGACGACGATAAGTCGAAACGTAAGGCCGCAATAAAGAGCTTCACCAAACCTCGTATGGCATAAGAAAACATTATCACATGTTTTAAATATATGAGTTCATTTCAAGAATATTTTGGACTTTTGAAAACTTAATTGTAACCGGTATAATTCAATATTAATAATATATGTATTTAAGTCGCTAAGCCCAACCATGGCCGCAATCAAATTTAACATAAACATGTCTGCTTGGTCCGGTTTGCCAGTGGAAGAACTACGTACTTTTTCCGAAAAAGAACAGCTAGAGGTGAAATTTGTTTGTCAATACACCAATGTTTCGTAATTTCGATTTCGCCAGAATTTCGCCACATTAAGAGTTACGGCACGAGGGGGGAAAATTTCAAATTGCTACATCTTGGTAAAACTTAGTCTAGAGGGGAGTTTCTATACGTTTCCGGTACTTTACTTTGGTAGCTTGAGCGCTGAACGGTTTTCTTTCTTATACTATACGTTTTTTGTCCTGTCTAGCTCTGTTAACCTCACTGTAATTTCAAAAATTCACTCGTCTTTCCTAGGGGCTGTGATCAGCTAGCTTCCACCCGTAAGCTCGCTGGTCTTCACAAAAGCGGGACTTTAATTTCTGAAAGACAGTGAGATTAACAGTTAGTTTAATATGCTATCTACCCCCATAGTAACAACTCTGGCCACTTCTTATCCAAAGATAATCCCAGCTACAATTTTTGGGGCATTAAATTTTTCTGTGCTTCCTGCAGCGTACATACAAACGATTGCTTCATACGTGTTTCATGTGTTGTTGACTAACCATGCAATGTTGATATATTGTGTTTGTTACTAGCCGCTCCGATCAGGACTAAAGAGCATTTTTTGGTGCATTTAAATAAATAAATAAATAAATAATGGCTCAAAAATTAATAGGTTGGCACATAAGTTTTGCAACCTTGTCCATAACTTCTTTCTCTACGAATGAGGCGCATTCAAATTTTGACAATATGTAGACTCGGAAGTGCGCTATAAATCTGCGCAAAATGTTTGATTTTTTCTGGCAAAATGGAAAAGATCTGCGTATTCTCCTAAAAGCGGTCAAAATTGAGGTTTTATGGTTTTTTTTAGCATAAATGAAGACCTACGAAAGTAAGTCAACAAAATTCAACCGGAACTGTGGGCAATATTCTCAGAGGTTGGCTACTGAACCCAGCGAAAAAAGAATTGTAATTCATTGTTACCTAAATGGAAATCTGGCGATTTCATAAACTCAAACAAGTCAAATGCGTCAAAGTAGCTTGGATAATTCATCAATGCCAGAGAGTCAGAATAGTCGAAGATTGGCGAAACTTTGCACGATGGGATAACTTGACATGCTGATTACGAATATCATATTCAATTGTTGTCAGAGTCAAAAATTAGCCTAGTGATTTTTTGTAATTCAACTCTTTTGTAGCAAAATAATTTTTTCAAGCAAAATGAATATCATTTTCGTAATCCGGATGTCGAATAACCCCCTTAGACCAAGTTTCACCTCAATCCGTGTCAATTCCTCTTTCTTTCCCATTCAAAAATTGCCTTATCGTAACTCTTGAACGTGATGTTGGAATACGGCAGGAATGGTTGCTTTCGCTGTTAACACGATACTAATTATAATACCAGAAAATGGAAGCGCCACATCGCAAAACACACGAGTTATAAGAAAAAGTTGCAAAACTTATGTGCTAACCTAATATATCCATCTTGCATGAAATGGGCTGCCTTCAAGATACGTTTTTTCGTCATAGCAACAGAATAGTATAGCATGTTCTTTTTTAATGGCGCACCTTGAGTGCATATAAATAAATAAATAAATGGTATGATTTTCGTGTTCAGCATGTCACTATTCCCCCATGCAAAGTCACAAATTCTGAGGCTTTGTTGCATAGTTGTTAACGGACGGCTGTTCATACTGGACGCATTCGACTTGTTCATCTTCTCGGAGCGCCAGATCTTGATTTTGACTTCCATTTCTATTTATTTTGTATCAAGTATACTTAGTAAATCACTAACAACATGCTGCCTATAACTAGGTCTTGAAATGTTTTTGAGTTGTGCACGGCTTCATTGCTCAAAAATCTTTAAAATCGATTTTCAACATTTATGAAAAATGTTCAGAATTTTCTACTATGCTATTAAAAATCAAACAACTTGAGCAGTCTTGTAGCACTGCAATCTAATTAATGCCGGAAAGTAAGAGCGCTACATCCAAAAAAAGAGGAAAGTTATGGAGGTTGCAAAACTTAGTTGCTAACCTAATATATTTTGTTATGAAACCACTTTGAGTTAATTTCTTATTCTTGTCTAATCTTACTGCTCTCGCTAGCAAGAATTAGATAGATAATCATGATATTCAGATACTTACCTATGTAACCAGTATAGAAGTGAGTTGATCGTATAATCAGAAAGAATGATTTCGACCATATGATTGTCATAAAGTGGGGGGAATGCGACGGGGAAAGCTCCGAATGGTGTTACTGTAACAAAAAGAAACAAAGTGAACATTACAAATTTTTGCTGGGTAACGTACTTGCTTGAGCATTTGGACTAAATTCGCCACTGAGATCAAATATGAAATCGTTTGTGGTTGCTTGAGTATTTAGTAGTTGGATCGAGAGATATAAATCATTGAGTTTGCTCTAAAATCTACCGATTTCCAAGCAAGTATATACTAAAAAGCTTTACCATGTCGAGTTGTTCGGTTATAAGACCCAAGAGTTCACCGCCCCCACCTGCACCTGGACATTTAGCACATAGATCAGCCGGTTGCTGGGCACTAGGTATCTAGAAACAACACTTTTATTTGGAATGTGCGATTAAAAATCTTACCGAAGGTCCCATGTAACCTCCACCGATGCCTTGTTGCGCTTGAAATCCTCCCACTGCAGCTGAGCAGGGCGGCAGCTGACCATAACCATTGGTGCTTCCATCAAATCTTACAACTCTTGCAACACCGCTTGGTACAACGTTACCATTGCTGAGAAGATATATTTGTGCCAGTTCGCGTTTGGCCCGACTGGTTGGGATGAGCTAGAAGGGTGTTTTTTGTTGTAAAATGGACAATCTAGGCCATGGAAAGATGTTGTTGAAGACAAACGCGGCGGTACTGTCCTCAAACTGCCTAGAGAACATTTAGAGCTAGCGTGCTGGTTGCTTTGCCCGTAAAGGATTTTCCTATTTGAAATGAGTACAAGTTTCAAAACTCAACTAATTTTCTCCAGTTTTCAGAGCGGCTTTTGACTGATGCAGGGACAATGTCGAGTAGGAAAACTCAAGTAATTCCACAAGGTTTTCTATGAGTAGTCCATTTTAACGCAGCAATGCGTCCTAGGCCAAAGTTGACGAGCGAGGTTTCCATCAGTCATCTCGTAGCCGTATATAAAATTTTGATAAATGAGACCTTTTAATGAGCAATTCAAACAGCCGTGTAGTTTGGCTTACTTTCACGTATTTTACTTCTCTTTCTTATCGCGGACGAGGACCTATTTGCCTGCGCCGTGCCTTGAGTACCAGCATAAACGAGCGGTTGTTGAGAGGGACTGAGGCGTTGACTTCTGACCAAGAATTTTTCCGTTTACACATTCACAACAATACGACCCATCGGTGGGTCGTAAGGTTCCTGAAGCTCTAGCTTTGCCAATATATGATGGAATTTTAGGGGGTTTTGGCACATGATTGGGGACACCTTGGCGAAGCTCCAGTCAAAGTGGTCCGGCTTCGGGATACTGTAATGTAATGTTAAGGTAGGTATACCGTAGATAGAGGCAAGGCATAGACTTTAGCTCATATATTTCGCAGAGTGGTACTGATTCGAAAATACATGCATGCACGAGAAATACAGGGGGGTACGAGACTGATGTCAGCCCATCAACAATTATCGATTTCATTGATTTTTCGCATTGTTTATCCCAGGTAGCTCAAAGCTTACATATATAGGTTTTTTAGCATGCTGATTACGAAAACGATAGTCTCAAGTTTCTAATACCGTCTTCTTACATCAGTTTCTTGATTCTTACGAAAATTCTACCGTACTGCTACCGTAGTCGCACTGTGGGAAATTAGTGAACAATTGACACTGTAATCGTTATCAACAACCCAAAACACAATTTTTTGTGAAAATTATGATGTTGGGTTTGTACAAAATGTCTACCGTAACCTTACCGTATGCCGCCAAACAGTGAAAAAATATATTAGGTTGTCTCATAATTAATGCACGTTTTTATGCTTGCTTTAACAAAGCAACCAGACTCAACCCAACAAAGGGTAAGGGGTACCGTCCGATAGAGCAAAGCAAGCTCTGCAAGATGGCTCTCATATCTTTGCGCCATGCTCGATCCACGGAGAGTTCGAACTCAAAATCTAAAAATTTCCAAATGCCCAAAAAATCGAAAAAAATCAGATCTTCGTCCAAATAATTTCTACGGACCTCCCACTCGCTCACATCAATACCATCGATATCTGATATCCATATGTGCGATTGCTGTATTTTTTCCTTGACTAGAAACTGAGAAAACGAAAATTTCCCTGATTTTCTCAAAGCAATGCTGAGCCGTTTTTGCATATGTAGTTCTATACTACAAGCCTAGGTAAGCATGACTGTAGGTTTTCAGCCTATTTCGAGCGGTACTTTTCGAGAAATGTCGATTTTAGCACTGAAACTGAAACGAAAAAATCCGAATTCGTTATTTTTCGAAAACTAGCGTTTGGAATAGGCTGAAAACCTACAGTTATGCTAACCTAGGCTTGTAGTATAGAACTACATATGCAAAAACGGCTCAACATTGCTTTGAGAAAATCAGGGAAATTTTCGTTTTCTCAGTTCCTAGTGAAGGAAAAAATACGGCAGTCGCACATATGGATATCAGATATCGATAGTATTGATGTGAGCGAGTGGGAGGTCCGTAGAAGTTATTTAGACGAAGATCTGATTTTTTTCGATTTTTGGGCATTTGGAAATTTTTAGATTTTGAGTTCGAACTCTCCGTGGATCGAGCATGGCGCAAAGATATGAGTGCCATCTTGTAGAGCTTGCTTTGCTCTATCGGACGGTACCCCTTACCCTTTGTTGGGTTGAGTCTGGTTGCTTTGTTAAAGCGAGCAAATAAAAACGTGCATTAATTATGAGACAACCTAATATTTTGGTAATCACGCCTTCGATAACCCTTGTGGCGAAATTCTCGGAGACATGTTTTGATCTTCAAAAAGACTACCATTTCGGACGATAGGACCCACGTGTGGGTCGTAAGCAGGGTCAAGCAAGGGGTGTGGCACACGATCGCTGGTTACGACCCCCCCCCCCCTGATTGCTGTCTTAATAAGACCCCCCCTAAACTATACACTTAAGATAGCATTACTTGAAGACCCTGTCAAACATAATGGGCAACATCCATAATTAGCATGTCAAATAACCCCTGTAGACAAAGTGTGAGCGAATTCTGAAGATTCAAGATACTAGACTACCTAAGTGAAATGGTCATTTTTTAACATGATTAACATTGTTTCAAAGGTGAATTAGCTATCCGTTTTTGCACTCAAGACAAAGCACTACTCCTTCTTTGTCCACCTCAGGAATTCTGCTTCAGAAGAACTCCAAACTGTGGAATTAGAAGCCAACCAAAATCTCATTTTTCCCATTTTTCGCTTTTAATGGCTGTGCTTTCACCAACTATTACTCAGAGCAAAGGAAACGAAACAGGCTAAAATTACTCCTGTGAAAACTAGGAGATCTAGGCTATCGATTCATATAAATACTGTCCGCTAAAAATGTTTTCTTGATATAGTTAATGGGGTGCGGCACACCCCATTAACTATATCAAAAAAAAACATTTTTAGCGGACAGTATTTATATGAATCGATAGCGCCTAAACCTTGTAGATTCCATAGGAATGTTTTGAGTCTGATTCGTCTTCTTAGCTCTAAATATGGTGAAAGCACAGCGATCAAAAGCGAAAAATGGGAAAAACGAGATTTTGATTGGCTTCTAATTCCACAGTTTGGAGGTCTCCTGAAGCAGGATTCCTGAGGTGGACAAAGAAGGAGTAGTGCTTTGTCTTGTGTGCAAAAACGGATAACTAATTCACCTTTGAAATAAAGTTAACCATGTTGGAATTTGACCATTTCACTTAGGTAGCCTAGTATCTTGAACCTTCAGAATTCGCTCACACTTTGTCTACAGGGGTTATTTGACATGTTAATTAGATAGGATACGAATATCATGTTATCACTATTATCAGATTATCCAACTACGACCCCCTCAACTTTTGACTCCTCAATACGACCCCCAGGTGTGGCGTGCAGCACCCCTCGCTTGACCCTGGTCGTAAGTTTGATAAAGCAAGAAAGGCTCTGGTCCGAAATGGCAGTAATCGAAAAATCGGCCTTGTCGTGAATGTGTTAATTTTCGTGTTATTACCAACATAGTATATTTTTAAGGTTTTTTTTGTTTTTCAAACGTTCTTATAGAGTCTGTAAATACGCCAAAGAGAGAAGCGCTTACTCTCGTCTGCGACAAGCCTATTGGCTTCGAAAAAAATCCGGTGTCTAAAGGCGCCTCGAGCGTCGATGTTTAAAGCTATGTGCGCAATTGGATCTTACATAATAGCATGCATCTGACCGATAGCTCTTGGTTGCTTTTGCCATGCTAAACAGTGGATTCATCTGTCGTCTCTATGCATAGAATTGTTGTCGCTCGTAGAGGCTGGAGGAAGCTTTGACTTTGAACTCGGTTAATGAGCCGTCGATCATGCAAATTAAGATTGTATAAATGCCAGCACGACATTCCACAGTCGTTGTATTTCAAGTAGATAATGTAAAAGCGTTGCAAAGATTTTAAAAAAAATTGTTTTGACACATATGCAACTAAGCATTAGGAAGAGCAACAAAACCTGTCGCGGCTCCGCGATGCGAGCGTTCCTAGAAGTAGGAGGCCGGGTGCACTGGTTACTGCCGCGCTATTCGGCGACGATTAGGTAATTCCCCACGCTTGCCGGAATCGCCGTTGGACCTCTCCTCCCCTTGGCGCGTTGCCAGCGAAAAGGCTATATATAGCGGCGGCGCCTCATTGCAGAGTCTGTTCCCTTTCGTTTTCGATCGATAATCTTTTCTCGTGTTTTATATCGTGCTCTTGCCTGGCAGTTTAGCTCCCGCCTTTGATGTCACTTTCGCAGTAGCGGTTGAACGGATCGTAGTTCATACTAGATTGCAATTCAAGTCTGATTTGGGATTGTTTTGAACGAACTACTTTTGAAACTCTTGAGATTCAGAATACAAGGTCTTGTAAACCTTGGCAGCAGAAAAGCTGTAGCGCCTGGTATACTCGTCCTCACCCCACTAGTCGGTCGGTGGTCGAATATGAGTTCGAACTGGAGCAGGCCGACCGCGGCAGAACGCGGCAGACCGCCCCTCAGCCAACCGCTTGCACGAGCTTTTTTCTTATTTTCTTCGTGTTTCTTTGCTATCTCTCGTATTGCGGCAATGCTCTTAATCAGATTTTCAGATTTCGTACCGCTGACTCTTTGAAGCAAACACTTTTTGAGGGAATTTCAGCCCCATCGCAAAAAAAATAGTTTAGAGTTTACACATTCTAACGAGAAAATTGACACAGTTCATCAAATCACATTTGTGCATATGTCACTTACCGGAAAAAGATTTCTCATCTAAAATTTCCAATCGCATATTCCCTGTTTAAATGAAAAAAATGTAAAACAAACGAGCACAACTGCACAAAACAATAGCTACTAAAAATCTGATCAAGAGCATTGCCGCTATACGAGAGATAGCAAAGAAACACGAAGAAAAAAGAGAAAAGCTCATGTGCAAGCGGTTGGCTGAGGGGCGGTCTGCCGCGCTCTGCCGCGGCCGGTCTGCTCCAGTTTGAATTTGAATTCGACTACCGACCGACTAAGGGGGTGAGGACGACTACATCCGGCGAAGCGTGGCGGATCTGTACTGGTGAAGCCTTGGGAGCATTGCTAGGTTTTAGTAGACACCCCCTTAGTCGGTCGGTAGTCGAATTGCTAGGTTTTAGTAGACGCGCACGTCGGTAGCAAGGGACGGAGCACCCTGTCCCGTGTTGAGATACAGTCTGCCCCAATCGGGATCAGGCCGAAGCGTCGGCGTAAATTTGCGCGCTCGCAGCGCTAGCGGTCTGCGCTGCATATGTGCGCTGTTGGAGAGAGCCAAAGGACTGAAGAGAGGGCAGAGAAGCAGGCCATGGGCGTGACCGCGAAACCCTAGCGACAAGGGCTCCCGCCATGCCAATTTTGGCCTGGTTAGAATTGGGGCAGACTGTACTCTTTTTAGTAGTTTAGTCTAGTAGCTTTTGGTATTGTAGTGTTTATTTGTTTCCTTTTGATGTCATTAGGATAAACTATAAGTAATTTAATGTTTCTTTACGCGCTAGGGTAAAGAAAGGTAGGCTAGGTCGCGTCGTATGTAATAAGCGGGCGAGCTCACCAGGTCTTGGGTAAAATCTAGGTGCTTAGGGGCCACCGAGCCGTCACAGAACCGCTTCTAATAGACGCTGCTAGCTTGCAAAGTTTTTAGAGAACTGCATTGAGCACAGTGCAATAGAGAACTTTGATAAACTTTTGCACCTATTATCCGTCCATCCTATCTCATATAAACACAAAATACCTGACGGGCGTGGTAGCGCCGATGGTAATGCCGTTGCCGCACTCCTCTTGCCAGTGCAAATCTCCTAGTGTCCACAGACTGGAGATCTTGTGAGCTTGGAAGCTTTGCGGTTGCATTGACGCTTGACTGGCAATAAGTTCGGCACTAAATCTGTCAGAATTTTTGTTACGCTCTCCGTGACGGTTGCCCAATCTCGGCACTGTGAAGCTGCTTTTGGAACCGCCTCAGCTGCACACCGAGGACTGTCTAGGTAAGCGCTAACTTGGGGTGCGAAGCTGTTTAATTGTCCAAGTGCATGGAGCGCAGATAGTATTTGCTCAAGCGCAGCCTTATCCTATGGTCTGGAGACCGAAGCACCGCACGAGGATGCTTCTCGACCACCGCACTGGCACTTTTGACGCTGACATGGGTTTCCAACACAGGTATGCCCTATCGTAGTTGCGGTGATTTTCGTGGCTTTTTTAACGATACATCGAACGGTTTTGATGAAAGGAGTAAAAGTTTCTGAGCAGATCGAATACTTTCGGACAAAATGTAAACAAATCTATGGTTTTTACGCATAACACACATCTCTCGCAACTCTACAGGGCTCCTAAACTGCAGAGTCGTTTGCACCAGCGGTCACGCGACCGCGTCGCGCCCGGGCATCAATGGCGCCGCCTCGATCGATGGCGCCGGCGCCGGCAAAATGCCCGGGTGCGACGCGGTCGCGCGACCGCTGGTGCAAACGACTCTGCAATCTAGGAGCCCTGTATATAAAAAGGTGTATTGTAGATTGGCTAATTTCACACTCCTCAGAAAGCGACGTAGCCAAAACATTTTCAAAAAGAATCAGTTGCCTTGCGCAGCATAAGCAGTTCCAAAAATCGTTCTGAACAAAATTTGGAGCTCTGATCTCTTACATATTCGGGACTAGGCCTTGGTCCTCCGAGTCCCAAAGCTGAGCCAAATAAATTGAAAATACGTGCAGCCGCCAAGGTTTGTGGTATTAGACCTGGCAACCTAGCGTTCAGTCTCTCATCAATTATACTGGGTAGCCGTGAGCAGATCTGACGAGGAGTCATTTTTCGAAGTACTTTTGAGATAGCTGGCTGAAATTCGAAGGAGCAAAAAGTAAGCTAATTATGAATCAAAGAAAGAAGCTTACCCTAAGTAGTGAGTTAGCAAGATTTCCAATTGAGCCACCATACTCATTGTAGGCATCGATATAGCCAATACGGAGATTACAATTCACAAGTCGGAGATACGGGCCACGTGGACCTCTTTCGATAGACACCTCTACGGATATAGATGCCTCAAAAGCAGTAGACATTGTTTTGTTCCGCACTTTCAAGTAAATCGCAGTTACTCCAAATTAATTGAACTCTAGTAAAAAATTAACTGCTTGAACAGATAGATTCGCTTATTGGTAATATTTTTTTGCAATTTGATGCTGCATTTTGATAAAGCAAAATTTTTTCCACACCACTAGCTGTCCAACCTTGCCCGTGAATATAGAAACAAAACCATTTAGCCCGTTTCTACATAACATCTCTGCCTTTCTGCCTAAAGCAAGTCTTCGTAAGAGCGTAAGGGTTGTTTCACTGCAGCACTGACCGCGCTGACCGCTGTAGCCGCAGCAGTCGCGCGTAAAAAGAAAAACATCATGTTATACGCCTAAAGTCATTAGTTCAGCTCTCATATCGAAATTGTAATCATTGTCCATTATGATGTTCGTATACCCTCGATATATAGAACTACGTATCCTGGTAATCTTCACTTCGAAGGCTATGAGGGGACACAACCTTCACCTGGAAAAAAACAGAAGTTTTCCGAGGCAAAGCCCCGGATGCTATTATTCTGACTATATCGGAACGAATGTTAATGAAGCAGATAGTATCTTTAGGTTATCTCATCGAAACCGAGAATTTGCGCTTTCACAGCCTTTTTTACGCTAAAAAGAAGGTTTCTGTCAAATTTTCGCCAAAATTCAGGACAACATTCTTCAGTTACATCTTATTTGACCAAAATCGTGTCAGAGGTTTAGGAAAAATGTTGGAGTTAAATAAAAACGAGAAACTGCGCTTAAATCTGGCGCAGAGAATCGCGCACGAGAACGCTAGTCTATCTCGTTAACGAGTGATTTTCTAAACTTGGGACGTTGTCAGTTCTCCTTGTCGTGTTATGACGATCAGAATGATATATAATGTTGCAGAGTTTCGTTGAGACCCGCGGAGATCTAGGAACAAAGCTAAATGCCCCGTCGGCTCTGGTCTGTCTCCGCTGCTCGTCTGCGTCTCCGCGCGCTGCGCGCTACCTCGCTATCCCAAACGCGGGCGCGGGGCGCATTTGGCTCTGATATCCTTTTCTTTGCTGTTCCGAACCTAATTTTAGCAAGCTATATATCATTTTGAAACTCGCGAGCTCTATTTTCACCCTGAGAACGTCCCAAAAACCACATTTTTTGATTTGATCGAGAAATCCGGCAAAAACCATGTTTTCGAAAATCTCTTGTTTTCCTCCTAGTTTAACACTTTTCACGCGGTTTTTTTCGTGCATTCTATAGATCTTGCCTTTTTTCATAATGCAGACAACCACCAAGCCCTTATCTCTTCGATTGGTGGAACTTTTTGCGAAAAATCGTAATAAGTGCGTTTTCTTTATCTTGTTCAGTTTCAGTGCCTTCGCATCGATTTTTTTCAGCTTGGGCGATTGTTGTTCAGAACATAATCGCAACAAAACAACATCCCAGGAAACAAGAACGTCAATACGGGGGTGAAAATTTGAAGGACGCATCAAAAATCAAATTTGGCTCCGACGTCCTTACTTAGTAAAAAAGAAACTTTGCATTTTCATAACCAATTTCTTTCTTGTTTATCTTCTTTTTGGTAACCACTCCTTCCGAAACATGTTTTTTTTGAAACAATTACAAAAAAGAAATTAGCTCTTCTTCGCTTTCCCCCGTGTTTGCTGGTAGTGAAAACTTGCACTTCGAAAAGCCGCCAAATGAAAGATTTCAGACCTTACTGCAGCGTTTTTATCCGGTTTTTAGCAGTTTCTTTTGCCTTTTATATCTGTTTTACGTCATTTTCTCTTGTCTGAACTTCTTTAAACAACCTTCACTTTTTACGAGGTCAGATGATTAACAACCTTCACTTTTAACGCCCACTCTCTAGGCTATCGAAGGGATTGGCTATCGAAGGGATGGATGTTCGTCTTGATTTCCATTTGTTCGTTTGTAAGCGTTATCGCAAAGTTGTCCTTCACAGACAAAATAAATGAGGAGCTGAATGTTTGAAATGCTTAAGAATGTGTAGCCAAAACAGACAGTGGCTGAGAATACTATTTTTCTGTGAGATTTGAGTAACGCGTACAGGAATCGAATAAAAACAACCTCTATAAGCAAATGGGGAAATCATTTTGAAACGATAACGAGCAATCAGGGCAGAGATTACTGAATTTGACAGAAACTATGATGTTTGACAACCCACTATGGTGTTATGACTGGTCGCTATCCTTATTTCACAACCACTGTTTTCTTATTCTGATCAAAAATCAACGGTTGATGCGGCTGCTGGAGCGGCTCCAATGCTGTCAATGCGGTCAGTGCAGTCAGTACTGCAGTATGAACGACCCTAACCAATATAACCCCCCCCCCTTTAAGAACCCTCAGAAATACAAAGCTTATCAATGAATTCGGCTGTTTATCTCAAAATTGGTTATTGCTTTCTTATTAAGCATACTCTCTCTCTCACCTCTCCGGCTCAAAGTTGACGAAAAAAGGCTTTAGATTCGATGAAGGCAGTGAAAGATTTTTGCGAATGCTGCTTATTTATGATCAGTATGCTTACCCACCTCCTGCACCAACTCCCAGCTTTACATAAAGCGCAATAAAGTCGGTTAAGTAATCAATAAATTCATTGTTGCATGTAGTGCTCTTAATCAGCACGTAAGCTTTGATTCAACTGGCTTGGCTTCGGGAAGGCGGGGCTTTGTGACGTAATTGAGGCCGCTCGCGCCCGCCACGCACCTTTGTCTCTCTCGCCCGTGTGCTCTGATCACTAGCTGGTCTTGTAGGTCATGAAGCCCCGCCTTCCGGATGCGAAGCAGTTGAGTCAAATGGTACAATTACGCCCCCTTTTCTGCATCACTCTCAACGTCCCAGCTCAAAGATTGCTTGAAAAAATCATATCAGTAACCAGTGAAAAGTAGCATCTTAACCCACCAAGTTCGAACATGCGTTTGGTTCAAATAGGAAAGAAAATCTTTTTATTCGTGAATTCGCGATGTCACGCACATGCACACGAAATTATGAAATCATCCTTTCCTCTCAGCTATAAAGTAGACGGAGATGCCCTAGCGCACAGCAATATTAGGCCTAAGGCATACCTCGCGAAATTCGTTAAATCGCTACATCTACGCGACTTGGCAGTTTGCCAAATATTTACAGATCAGTCGTGTGCGGATCCTAAGTGCATAGGCGGGTAGCTACCGCAAGTTATAGCGAAAGCTGTAAGTCTGGCCCATGCAAAGCGCGTTAACGACCAGTTACGAAGACTCGCTACAGTGTCAGATCGCGCAGCGACTGAAATCGGGTGAAATATGCCTTAGGGCTTACCCTACTTTCATAAATGCAAGCTTTTTCGATTTTTTGAACAAACCGCTCAACCGCTCCGCTGCGTTTCGGAAGACCCTTATGCCCTACAATTCTCTTAGGCAGTACGCAGCACTGTATGTGGTTCTTTGATCGCGATATCCTTTGATGTGTATAGGGTGGCTGATCTTAGAAAGCAAAAACACCCTGCGTTTTGTACTCGCAAAATTAGGGTATGTTGCCTAGTGCTTCGCTGCTGTTCCAGTGAGTTGGTTGACCATTGTGTCTCCATCTACTCTATAGCCGGAAAAGAGCTATAAAAGATAAAAAAATTTAAGCTGACATTTTAACTGCGATGGTCACCCGATAAACATTCCTGTGACTTTAAGAAAAAATCTGGGCCAAAAATTGCGACGCTCACCCGATAAACGTTTCCTTGTACTATACCTGATAAGGTAAAGGGTGATGTGAGGATTGTGATATGCCCACCAAGATTGGCAGTGATTCTGTAAAAAGTGATCAAAAATCTGCTCATTCTTTTCACTTCTTCATAAGTAGCAACCGTGCTAAATGTTTTGTAATTTACTGGATGAAACAACTTTTCGTAAGTTTATAATCATTTTTGTACACATAATTACATGTCCTGCTTGGAGCCTAAAATTAGGTTCATACTAGTCCCGAAGTTCCGAAACAGTTGCAGCACCTCGTACTGTGTTGAAAATGTGCCGAAACTGTGGTGCATGCGCTGCAGCCGCCCGCATGCGGTTTTGAGCGGCGCGAAATGACAATTTCTGACCTTCTTCAACAGCTTCACAGTTATTCTTGCTTCCACCTCATTCTAGTATCTCGCTTGCTTTTGTGATTGAAAAAGTTCCAAACTTGGAGAGTGGTACAAAAATATGGCTATTCCCTTTTGTGCATCTACTGAAAAACTACCGCAAACTGATGCCGCTTCCAGCGCTTCCAATCGTGCACACTTCTCTAAGTTTGGAGTTCTTTCATTAGAAGTAGAACAGTAAAAAAAACGAAAAAGCAAGCACTATGGTGCAAAGAAATGGGGCTGGACCTCTCCTTCCCCCCCCCCTCCCCAAAGAAACCCACTATTTTAAAAGCGGAAAGAAAAATTCACAATTTTTGCAATTGTGATGGCTGTGTTAGTCCTCTCTAAAAACGACTGAAGATAGCGAGGATGCAGTGAATCTCCGAAATACAAAATGAGCGTTTGTCCCAAAAAATGTATAGAACGTTGAATCTTTAATAACTTCCCTAAATGGAAATCTGTCGTGGATCTTTGGGTGCTATACGGTAGGGCCAGCTTCAACTTGGCATTGCAGTATGGAGCAAATCACCTACTTCTTTCATTGATAGAAATGCTTCTAAAGAATTATAAAAAAAAAACGAAAGACTCAAATTAATGTTTTTGGGTATGCTCAACTATTTACAAAATTTTTCGCCACCGTACTCTTCTGCTTCTTACATATGCGCACTGTAATGCTTTTTTGCTTTTTTTTCTAGAATTCAACGTTGCCTTTGTCAAGCAAAGTTAAATTAAATCTTTAAGACTCCTTCAATCTTTATTAATTGCAAATAATGATAGAAATTTTGAACCCTGAATTTGTAAATTACAAATTCAGGGTTCAAACACAATTTATGATTTGATTAGATTCCATTGATTTGATTGATTGATTTCGAAATGTTTGTGACTGCAAGCTGATTCAGAGAATTTTGGAAAAAAGCAAAAGTCCAGCACTGTGCGCATAACGTGAAAAGGAAGAGCACGATAGCGGAGAATTTTGTAAATTAGATTCGGCTCCGAAAACATTAATTTGACGTCTTTCTTTTTGGAATTCTTTGGAAGCGTTTTTTGTCACTCATAAGCCAAAATTAGTCGAAAATTTCTACCGTAATCCTACAGTAATCAAGAAGAATCGATTATCTATTGTGTAATTCTAGGTTGAAGCTAGCCCTACCGTATGGCACCCAAAGATCCGCGAACGCTTTCCATATAAGGAAGATCAAAAGTCAAACGTTCGATACATTTTTTGGTACACCCTGTAGATGATTTATGCAAGGCCTGACATGAAAAAGTTTCATTATCAAATTCTTTGAGTTCGTAATCCTTTACATCACAAGCAAGATGCGAGATGAAACAAAAATGGGTAAAATTTACAATCGAAATCGGTGAAGAAAGTCAAAAAGCCATCAGTATAAACCTAGCTTAAGGACTATGGCGGAGGAGAAATGTCGTTTGGGAGGGGGGTGCGGCAAATTTTTTTTCCGAACGGAGTCACGCAGCTTCAATCACGTCTTCCAAAAAATCTTTTTGACGCTTTTCAAATTTTTATCGACATTATGATCCAAAACTTTTGAAAAATAGGGCATGGCGGCAACCACACCCCTGAAATTGTTTTTGACTGGTCTGATATTTTGGAAATTTAAGAAGCCCTTTTGATTGCTTAGAAAAAATGAATCACTTGCTTTTATAATTTACGTCGGTAGCTTTGAGAATTTCGCGACCCGATCTCGAGGAAGGGGGTATCGTTTTCTCCGCTCCCCTTCATCGCTCCGCCTTTGATGTAATAAGTATATTAATTACCCGATATCTACGTTCTGTACTTCTAGAGTAAGCCTGTTCGGTGGTGCTGGATAGACGACAATTCGTTCTGGGCTGCGAAAGCGCGAAATGTAAAGGTTATAGATTTCGATACATCCTCTGACCTGAAAGTGGCTACGTCTTTTAATCTGTTTGAATAAGCAGTTAATAGCGAGAGCAGGGCACTGAGCCGAAGGAGGAATTAGAAGTGCAGACAAAGGCAAAGTGCATTTATTCTTACCTGTGTGAGGCATAGCGTAATTCGAGGAATTTTGAAGTTTGTGATCTCCCTGTTCAGCACATCACCGATTAATCCGCTGACATATTCAAACCCTCGTTGTTTGAGCCGAAGTCGTATCCCGGGGAAACCTCGGACTCCTTGTAGGAGGAGGGGATTGAAGTCAGTAGCCATGCTTGCTCCACCATTGCCGCCAGCATTGAAACCACCGACAGCGCCATAGCCTCCTATTCCATTGGCTGAGATGAGGTTTACAAGGGTCGCAAGGATTATCTGAAAGTTAATGGTTCGCGGGAGTTTGCGTTTCTTTGAAAAAATTACGGAAAATAATACTCCCGAATCTACCTTATGCACGAGCATGCCGCTATTGACGAAATGGTGGAGGACCTGAGAAAATCCATGCTATGCCACGGTCAAGTCGGCATACGGAAGGATAGCGGAACGAATTGAAATGAAGGAAGAGGTAGAAACGGGTTCTTCCTTGACTAGAGCTTGAAAAACACATTGGTTCTCAAACCGGATTCATGAAATGTATGCAAGGAATACCCAAAAGCGAAATTCGTATAACGGCATTGTAACGGCGGAAAAAAAGGAGAAGTGCAACCGAAACACGTCCTCTAAGCGGAACCCGTTTCGAAAAAAAATTATGAAAGTTATTGATGATTTAGCTGACCTTCGCAATTCACAATAAAATATGTGAACGCGGGAACAAAAATGGAAATGGCCTCTAGAATTATATACTTTTGGGACGGAAGCGATAAGTGTCTGCCATCGATCATACCTCAGATTACACCTTAACTTAGAAGAAAGCTTCACTTAATGTCTTTTATAAACTAGAGTGTAAAGTTTTGGTCATGCATTGCCAATTGACTGCACGCTCTCCTTCTTTTTGCGCAACTGACCGAAGGTTGGCCGCAGCTGTAATGAACGAACACTGTCACCTGCATGCCCTTTGAAGGCATATACATGGGAGAAAGAGTTTATCTTACTACAAATAAACTACTAGTAGGTTTTTTGATTATGCCACAGTAACGTGGACCTTGCATTCATATTTTCGTGATTGTATTGCAACTGTGGCTTTTTAAGTCCTCCTGAGTTTTTCTTTTGTGCATCTTTTACTTGAAAAGCACTTATCTGAAGCCCTTTTTGACTTAGCACTGGCCGCGTTTTGTAATTTACTGATATTAGGAGAATCAATGATGTTCGAGAGTCTATTTGACTTGCTAATATCTATCATTTTGCCTACGCATCACAAGTACTAAAGAATGCTGAGTGCTAGGAGGGAATTTGAAGGGTTTGTATATTATATAGGAACCCTGGTGTGAAATTAAACTTTTTCGAAAAGCCACCTTCCTACAGAGGGTTTTGTCATTGACAAGAATGACTTCATAATATTTTGTGCTACTTGCTAGTTTCAACTTCAATGACTTACTGCAAGTTGTGAAATCATCAGTACCATCGTCATCGTGGCAAGTTTTACAAACCGCTAAAGCTTGCAAGCTTTCATCGATTGGATTTAAATTTTGCGCCGTTTTATAAGTTTATCTTCATACGAATGTTCTATGTGGATCGTCTTCAACAGCAATGACTCCAAATTTGAGAGCGAAGATTATACGAAAGTTGCTTCTTTTCGTCAATAGTTCGTAAATGTGCCATTTTTCTTGCAAGGCGACTCTACGCGGAGGGGGGGGGGGGTAAAGTCTACAAAAACTAAGAAATCTTTTTTGTCCACTTTAGCACAAACATTTAACCTGCAACTTTCATGAATAACGCGATTAACTGGCCTATGAAATGGAATAATCTTACAAGGAAATGATATTTGGTGACCCCGGCCTTTTGGAATGCGATGTATTAGGTCATAAGTTCTGTCCGATTTTTTTCGCCTCATGTTTGAAGCAGCTGTTCTAAGAGAATTTTATCTCCAATGCGATATTGTTAGAGTATCATTAGAAAGTGCTTTTCTTGCGCTTACTAAAGCATATTTTCAATAAATTTCTTAGTGTAAGGAGATTTCAGGCCTAAAATCTCCAAGTGGCCGAGGTACGTTCTCACCCTAGAAATAGGTTCTTGCGAGGAAATCCTCATAATGCGCCCTTCAAGTCAAGTTCTTTCATTTGCTGCGGAATAAGGGTGTAGAAGGTTAATATATACTCAAGTTCGACTCCATGAAGAAAACGTCTTGCTAGTAAAATTTGTCGTCGAACATTAATCAGTATAAATGTTTTACAAGCTATAACTTTCTGCGAATAAGAGTAATCGACGATTTTAAAGTTGCAGGTGATAGGGCAAAGCAAGAGCTAGCAGAACCCATCCACCAAATTCTTTCCGGCGCTCACGTCAGTTGTAAAATTTTCATAACTCGTAAATAGGCATGCACACATGCGCTTAGGTGAGGTCAAAAAGTGTCTTATTTTTTGTTCGGTCAAAAAAATCTCTCGGCAGCGAAGACCTTATGGGCTCTTTCATGTTGCAAAATAATCTACTAAAATTTCTCTATCTGTCCATTGTTAGATAAGATGCCTACCAATTCTCATAAGGGAGCATTGCCATGTCAAAAAAGACAAGTTTGAAGGAAAACGTCGTGAAGTTTCTGAGTTCTTGCTTCTTTCTCAACAAGGATTTTAGCAGGTTCTAATATGTATCTGATAGGCAAGGAATTGCTCAACACACGGAAACTAAGGTCTTGGAAAAAAGTTGACTTTGAAAGAAGTTATGACATTTTGAACTCAAAAAATTCAAATGGGACAGAACTTATGCAACAACCTAATATACCATAAGGTGCACCTTGAAACGCTGATTCCAAATCTGTGCTCGAAATCTGCGAAACGATCATTTGAAGGCAGTTATGAACTTTTCAGAAAATTTTAGGCAGTTAAAATCACCCAATTTGATCTATCTTACCTTCGAAGCTATTGAGGAGAATCTTGAGAAGTGTAACGTTGTATTTATACCTGTCTAAACCATATCAGCATTTGAAGAGGAAAGCAAAATTTTTGTTAATGATTTTCACCCTTCGCAGTAGCGCATTTCATTTTTGAAAAAATAAATATAACTCCATCCAGGTTCTCGTTTCGCAGATATGAAAAACAGTATTCGAACCAGCATTAAAAGGCGGATTCTTTGATATACAAATCATTATGAATGGCCGGGGTCACCAAGTGTCGTTTCCTGCTTAGAATGAACGAATAAAATCTTTTCCTTGCACTTGGACAATACCGTTGAAGAAAGGGTGCCTGGATAGCAGCTAGTTTTGGGTTAAGCTCCATAATTAGCGCTTAAATAGCCGTTGAGATTCTAAACCCATTACACCTGCTTGATTTTGCTAATTTTTTGGACCTATCTAGTTCCTGACAGAGACTAGACGGCAGATAATGCAATTGCAATAGCTGTCTCGTTTTTCTTCAATTAAGCTTTGAGGATTTGGAATGATTTATTGAACGATCAAATCTTAAGATCTCGCAAGATTTACAGGCAGTTTTGTAAGGCGTAGTAAACAACAAGAATAAGACTTGGTTCAACGTGCATCTCGCTGGGAATGGGAGAGGATGTGAGAAGGAACGTGTCATATGTCGCTGCTCTAGATATCTATACCCGTCTTCTTCTATGTTATAGAGGTTCTTATGCCCTGATATCTGGGTTAATGACGGTAGCATATTGACATTCAAGCTGAAATTTCCACTGTATCGTGTGATTCCTTGGGGATCCCCAGGGGATCACTCTCTGTTTTCAAAATCCCATCTTTGCAGGAAGTGGATTGTCGAAAATTTTGCTATCTTGAGATTTCACTAATTTCAACTGTAAATATGTTTAGTAGTGCCATAGTATATCGTACGGTTTTACAGCTTTTTTTCATCGAGTTTATAAGAAACTAGCTGGCTTACCCGGCTCCGCCGTATGTTCCGAATAGAAAATTCCATTTCTTAACCGATCTGGACCAAACTTGGCACACATACACTTCGGGCTCCGGCGGGTGTCACAGTCCACTATTCGTTATCGATCGATATCGATTTTATCGATTTTTTGCAAAATTTGAGCTACGGGGCTGGAAGTTGGCACAGGGGGTAATCGAGCAGCTGATCACCCCCGTGGGGGTGATCAGCATGCTCGGTTACACCCCTCTGCCAAATTTTAGCCCCCTAGCTCAAATTTTGCAAAAAATCGATAAAATCGATATCGATCGATAACGAAAAGTAGCCTATGACACCTGCCGGGGCCCGAAGTGTATGTGTGCCAAGTTTGGTCCCGATCGGTTCAGAAATGGAATTTTCTATTCGGAACATACGTACAGACAGACATACATACAGACAGACATACATACAGACAAACAGACATTCAGCTTTATATACAGGGTGTCCCAAAAAAATGTGCCTACTGTTTGGTTGTAAATAACTTTCTTGTAACGAAGTGTTTTGAGATGCTTCAGGTACCATTTTGTAGAGCGAGGTTGAACTTAGATTTACAGTAGGAGCGGATCATCTATCGCTCTTCATTACTGTAGGATTACGGTAAGAACTTCCAGCATATGGAACCATTGTAAAATATACCACCTAACAAAATTTTTTTCAAAAAATCTGAAAAATCGTGTACTTGGGTTTTCGCGCATGCTGATTCCAACAAACAACTTTTTACGAGTGTTTTCAGCTTTTTTTACGGTGTAATTACATTTCTGAAAAATGCTGGGGATTGAGTTATTACGTTTTACAGGGGTTAACTTAGGAAAGAAGCATCACAGCAAAATGGGAATTTCAGATTCGAAATCAGCGGCTTCCATTACCGTAGTGTAAGAGTTTCTGGCTTGTTTGGTTTCGTTCCGAGGCAGAGTGTAGCCTCCAAAGGCCTAAAATCTTTGTCGAAGTTCCTACCGTAATTCTACAGTAATGAAGAGCTATAGATGATTCGCTCCATACTGTATAACTAAGTTTAACCTCGCTCTACAGAACGGTACCTAAAGCTTCTCGAAACACTTCATTACAAGAAAGCTATTTATATTCAAACAGTAGGCACATTTTTTTGGGACACCCTGTATAAGATTAATGGCTTTGAAAATGTCAGGAAATCACACCAACCAGCGAAATTCTCTTCTTGTACGGTAATGTTCTGTTATCTACTATACTCAGAAATTGGGAAACGGTCAAATGGCGCGTATTGATCGGGTATCACTGGCTAAGCGAACCACCTAAAAAGTCCAAACCGACTGTGTTCCTTTTGGATCTCACTACGTGATACCCTATGCTTTCTTGAATACTGACAAAATTCCGGATTCTTAAAATCTCGCTTTTGTGGAGTAGGATCCATTGCAGCAATAGCGACTGAAGAGATGCTGCCGACATACAACCCTCAGATATTAGGATATGTGAGCC